CGTAACAATTCGAAGGCAGCTACGAATCCAGCTGCCAACATCTAGCAGAAACAGCAGGCCGATTTGCTGCATTTACAGTTCTTGTAACTTTTGACCCGGTCCGTGCCATATCGCCATCACCGTTCCCACATTTCACCAAGTGAGGGGCACGGGCCGTTCCCACATTAACCTTCTGAGTTGAAGTGTTCTTATTTACTTGTTTGCGCATTCATTCCTAAAATTAATTTGAACAATCTATTCCGCCAGTTCTTCCGTCCTGTTTCTCCGGTTTAGACGCGTTTTGATTTGTTGTTTCGAGTGATGAGTTATTGAGTGAGTGCCGCGTTGAGGTTATGTTTGGTTATGGACACAGTCGCTGAAGTGACATTTATCAGTGACAGTTTTCTCCCTGGCCTCCCTGGCTTACTCGCATATGAACTCTATGAACATTGCTTTATTTTAATGGTAAAGTGTTGTTTTCATTTTTGATCCCTTTTGAGAGTTTTGAAGAAACAACATACGACAACAAAGTGGTTGTCCAAAATTCGTCCGTGTTGGATTCTGATAAACGGCTAGGTTATGTCACCAAAAATTATTTGATTTGAACGATATTTTTTAACTATTGTGTCATGTCTCACGTCATATGTTTTTAGCGAAATAAAGGGAAACAATATATGAAATACGACCTTTTCATTTCTACCATATCAATATTTAATATGGGGGGGGGGGGGCAATATTGATACCACAGCAGATCGGCTTGCACCCATTGCTTCAATATAGATTGCTGACAGAGCAACTCTGGCGATTGCTATTCCATACGCGGCTGACTGGGATTGTAACACCAGCAAATTCCGTTGCTGCATCAGCAAAGAAACATTCAGCAATTTAAGTTTGCTGACACAGCTAGAAATGTTGTAGGCGCTATGTTAGCAGCCAAAAATTGCTACCGCAGCAATAAAACAGCTGTGGCAGCAATTCTTTTCTCTCCGTGCGTGGTGCTATGGGTCCCAGAGTATCGCGCCGGACCGCCGCTGTACTAGAGGAGAGGTACGACACGAGAGGAGTGAGCGAGACAATACGATCGAGCAGACGCATGGATAGAGAAGGGAAAAGGGGGTGAGGGAGGGGTGTCACATCCTTGTCTATCCCATACGTTCGCTCTCTCCCTCTCTTATTCTCTCTTGCACCGCTGCCAACCTCACGCAATTCGCCTGCGACCGCGGCGGACTACGGCGTCGGGCCATCCTACCGCGGTCCGTGCCGAATAGGTGTCCCGCGGCGCGCGGGGGGGGGGGGGGGGCACCTCGCGTCGCCCCCAGCAGCGGCCCAGCCCAGCATGAATATGCAATACAGCCACGTAAAGGATGTGCGTCTGCCCGGTGCGCCCCGCTGGCCGCGCTGGATGGCAGTGTGGGGGCCGCGCTTGGTGGGACCGCTGGCCGACACCTGCGCCCCACCTGCCTGACGGTGCGAGAGAGACGGCAAGCGACAGGGGGACCCCCGCCCGCTGCCGCCCCCACAGCCTCCAGCGCGCTCCATCTACCTCCCCAGCGGCGGCGGCGGCGCCCTTCTCAACGTCCCGCCTTCTTTTCAATTCGCAACCAGCGAGCGCATCCCCAATATGAATCGGTCACGACGCCGCGCTCGTCACACCGCGACGGCGCCGGCGGCATCGTATCGTGACGCGCCGACCGTCACGACGGAAGTCAAACGATATATTTGGTTGAAAATGTTTGTGTTTTATTTTTTTCCCAGAGATGTCAGCGTCACTTACAACATATGTGAGCGTGAAGTACGAGCGTGCGAAAAATATCGTGATTTTGACGAAAAATCATTAATAAGTTTTTGAAGATAGACCTTACCGTAATACTTTTTTACATGGTAAGGGTGTCATTGGGTTATTATAGCGACCTGGAATTGACTTTAACTAATTAACGCCGTGAACCTGAACCAAGCGTTACTAATTTGGTCCAAGCCGCAGGCCACAGGCCTCCCACAGGTGTAGGCTGTAAAAAGCCAGGTGTGTTGGCCTCGACGCCAGGCTGGTGGGTGGCAAGCTGCGTGGATGCTGACCCCCGACCCCACCGCTGCCACTGTCTTTGACCCGCACACCACACATGAAATTCCGTTTGGCGCGCTGTGGCCTGCAGGCAGGCAGGCAGGGCCCGGCAGAGCGGCTCGTGTCGCGTCCAGCGCCGGCGCCTCCAGCGCCCCGAGGCGCGGAGGCTCCTCCAGGCGAGGAGGGCCGCGAGGCCCCACCCGCACCTTAACCGCGACGGCGTCCTCGGCCCGAGGGACTGAGCACGGCGGCGCCGCTGCTGCTCATCCTGCCAGCAGGAAGTGCGCCGAGTCTGACAACTATTTACCGCAGAACAGAGGAGGCGGGCGGCCGGGCCGGGCGCACAGAGAGGGAGAGAGAGGGAGAGAGAGAGAGAGAGAGAGAGAGAGAGAGAGAGAGAGAGAGGGGAGAGGGAGAGAGGGAGGAGATGGTGCAAATTAAAAAATCTCGCAGCGGCAGCAGCGCCCATTTCCTTGAGCTCGTAGCGGCTCAGACTCGTTTGTTCGCTTTCTTTCACCCACACTGTCCGTCCGTCTGCCCGCTTGCGCGTCCTTCCTTCTTACTCCTGACCTCTCCATCCATCCTACCTGCGGCGCCTCGCGGTGCCCTGGGCCCTCTTCACGCCAGGGCATTCACTTACGCCCACTGCCCCCCCCCTCCTCCCCCGGACATAGCGCTTATCGTCCTAAAAGTGTCTTCACCGTAAAAACAATGTCTGATATCGTTGTTGTTGTTTTTAAAATCTTTGAGGAAATCCTTACCTTAAGTCTGAGGAAAAATCCTCAGATTTTCAGAATTTTCGATGTGTGTCGAAAAATCACAATGTAGAGTTGTAAAAATAAAAGCTACTTTACCAAGCTCCTCACACAATTAATTTTCGACTTGAAATTAATTATTGACCCGTATGAATCGGCTGCCGTAAATTTACAACATCATAGTATGTCAATTGTAAATTACAAAATATGTCGTTCAGTGTGCTTGCATGTGAGCTTGTTGTGCAGAAAACAGTCATAAATGTCCGGGCCTACCGTTCCGTTATTTATTTAAACGAAAATAAAAGCCTTCAAAATTAACGCGCTCGCTTTGTGGTCGCGGCTGTATGGGCTGCTCATTCTATTAGGCGCCCCGCCTCCTCGTTTTCTATGGCTTTCGAACAAGCCGCAACACATGAGTGTACAGCTGCTGTAGTAATTACATGAGGGAGAGAGAGAGAGAGAGAGAGCGAGAGAGAGAGAGAGAGAGAGAGAGAGAAGCAGGGAGCAGTAGCAAAAGCCGCAGCTCTTGAAGGCAATGCCAGCAAATGAGGCAATTTCCTCCTAGCCGCGCGTTGAGCTACGCTGAGCCGCCGCTGCTGCTGCTGCTGCTGCTGCTGCTGCTGCTGCTGCTGCTGCTGCTGGGCTCCAGTACGGCACTGCCTCGCGCGTCGCGCGTAACAGAAAGATACAAAAGCACGCGTCGATAATGGCTGCTGCAGGTGAGACCTCCCGGCGCAAGCTCTACATGACGCGCCGTGCGCTCCACTCACTGTTCAAAGCCAACCAGTGAAATTCATTGTAAGCTTATAGAGTGCTCTGCCTCGCGCTGCGGCCAAGTTTATATTTTCATGAAATAACATGCGTTTGTTACAGGGAAGTAAATAAGAGGGAAGGCGTTGCTTTAGATTGATTGTGTCCTGTACGGGCGCCTTGGCTTTGCGGGCCACGACTGCTGCTAGCATCCTGGGTGCCTGGTCGGCGCGGGGGTCTTGTGGATAGAGAGGCCGCGCCCAGGGTCCTGGGGAGCTAAACAACCAGAGAGCAGCAGCCGAGGCAGCAGCAGAGCAGTGGGTGTCTCGCCGGCAGCCAGGAGGATCCCCGACCCAGTGACGTGGATGCCCCTTGCTAGGTGCTGCCCCCAGACTCCAGACGTGACTCCTCCCCCCTCCCCCCTCACACACACAGTTCTATTTGCTCTGGTATGGCGCGTGTTACGCGAAGGTCGGGTGCTTCTGTCTGCTGACGGGAGGGGGCCATTCGCACCGTGCGTCTGACACATCTAGGTGAGGAGGAGTCGAACATAAGAGATCAGCGCGACGTGTGTTCTGTCTCTCCTCCCCCCCCCCCACTGCTGCCACTCACCGGTACCAGACTCGCGTGGCGGCCTCACGACTAGGGCCCTATATCGGAGCGGCTGGGACGAAAGTAGTATTGCGTATAAAGCTGAACAAGTGGAAGAATCATCAAGTTCAGGGTCGGGGCACGGGAGCAGCGCGGCAGAAGACGGGAAAGAGAGAGAGAGACAGCTCCCTGTCGCCCGCCCGGGCCATCCGCTATCCGCCCGCATCGGTGAAATTGGTCTCCCTTACTCTTATTCTTCTTTTTCTCCGCCCCC